TGAGGAGCACTGGGAATGAGGAGCACTGGGAGTGGGGAGCACTGGGAGTGAGGAGCACTGGGACAGCAGTGGGGTGGTGCCTGTTTAGCACAGGAGGATCTGGAAGGTTCTGGAGATGCTCTGCCTTGGGCAGGATGGCTCTGAGGTGCCGGGAATCTGCCCCTGGATCTTGGACATTATCTCTGGTCCCTCTGTTGGGTGATTTCTGCTGTTGTGGGATACCCCAAATGCCAGCTGGTCATGTCTGGGGTGAGTCCTGATGACTGTTCTGTTGTGGAAGGCAGCCAGACCTAAAGGGGTGTTTTGTCTTTTCCTTTCCCAGTGGAAACTGGGGCAGTGACATCCAGGGATGGCAGGGAGGAGGTTTGGGGACACCTGGATGAACAAGAACTCAGAATGAAGCTGAGTGAGAGGCCAACCCTGCTGAGCCAGACCCCCCCAGTGCTTTGTGCCATCAGGAACAGGAGGGTGAGGAGGTGTTTGGGTGTGTCTGGGTGCTCTGTCCCTGCTCTGCCAGTGCCACCATCCCTCTGTGCCCATGCCCAGTTGTCAGGGATGCACAGGAGAAGCTGAGCTATACTGTGCTATATATCCCTGCCAAAATATACAGGAAAAGCCTGAAAAGCTTATGTGTGAGCACGTTCTCCCTGATGGAGGGGCTGTCAAGGCAGGAGGCCAGATATTCCCAGCTCCTGAAGTGCCCACAGAAATCCCAGGGCCAGGGGTTGGGAGGAACCGCCCAGCGTTGTGAGCAAACCCAACATCTGAGTCCAACATTCCCAGGAACCTGCTCAAATTGGGCAGACTGACTCTCTCCCAAGGTTTCAAGGAGAGGCTGCTGAAGAAGCTCCAGGCAGGAGTTCCCAACACAACTCATGTCCAGGCTGGATGTGCTCCCTGTGGGTTGGTGCTTCCATGCTTGGCAGCTTAAGAGCATTTAGGAATATGTGGATTACCAGGGGAGAGTATAATGAGGTTGCACCAATAGTACTCCTGAGAAAACGCTTTTGAACATTTTGGTGGGACCATCCAGGATTTTTTTTAAGTGCCAATCTGAACAGCTGGAGAGCAGTTAATAAATCAGTACAAAAATAATTGATTTATAGTAAGTGATTTTATAGCTTAGTAAAGAAAGGTCCCTTGTGCATTGGGTTGAAGAAAGAGTCCTTGTTCGGAGCATTTTTTGCCATCCAAGATGTTGGTTTTAATTCTAGAAATGTGTTGATCCCTGCTAGAACTGCAAACAGTTTGTCAGACTTTTAAACACTTGAGAAGGAGCCCCTGCACTCCTGTGCCCGCGGGGACTGGCTCTGTGCCACTCCCTGTAAACTGCCAGGGAGGGCAGAGAGACCTCTGAGGGGGAACCAGGGGCTGCTGACCCTTCCCCACGGCCCTGGAGGTCTCCTGGAGGAGCCCAGGGGGGACTGGACTTCTGCAGTTGTTTTTTGCTCAGGAAAAAAGTTGATCTGGCTGTTAAGGCAGAGCTCTGACACCCAGAAGATCTCTGTGCTGTTGGTGGGATTTGCTGTGTCACATCCCATAAAACATTGCCTCTGTTTGTCCATCTGTGGGGTTCCACCAATATTCCAGCAGAGGGACTGTGTGAGACTAAGTTTAGATAATATAATGTTCATTAAAGTTAGTAAATTAAGAGAGCACAAGGTGAAAGGTGTCTGGTTTGGGTGAATTTTTGAGTACTCCTGAGCCAATGTTTTGATGTCAGGCATCTGAGGGATTGGTCCTGAGCTGGCATGGATCCTCTCTGGGAAAAGCTGAATCCATTAGGAGAAAGTGTTATCCCTCTGCCTCCTCACTGAGCCCTGGGGAAAGGGATGATCCTGCAAACTTTTGCTGGAATTCCTAAACAAATCTGCCTTGCCAAGCTCGGTGTTTATAAATAATCCCCCCAGTGTAAATATCCTGGCTGTGGGATCGGATTGCCAAAGTGAACTAGGAAATTCATGACAAAGGTGTGAATCTTCAGCGATGAAATCTGCATTCAAACAAACACCTTGAAAACTCTCTATTTACAGGGCTCATCTTTATCCACCTGCAGGTGCCTGCACTGCTCCCGGTCAGGCAGGAGAACCCCCCCCCCCCTAATTCGGGAGAGGGATTTGCACTGGGATTTACACATTGTTCCAAAACTGCTGGGGAAAAAGGGAGACCCTGAAGATACACCCGGGAGCTTCTTGGATCTGTTCAGGACTAACAGGCAAAGAGGAGCGGAGTTGAAACGGGGCTCGTTGATGCCTCGGTCCGGGCTGGCGGTGCTCGCTCAGCCCCGGAGGTGACTCTCCAAACTCAGGGATGCCCTCTGCTGCCTTGGGACCGAGCAGTCACCTGTCACCTCCTCCCGCTGCCCGCGGAAGCATCACGACTCTCTTCTCCATTCCTACAAGATGTTCCCAAGTGCTCTGAAGGAGGCACAGAACCCTCCGAGCCCCGAGCACTCCCTGGGCAGGGCGAGGGGAAGGTTCCCCAGGCTGGAGGGACCAGGGCAGGAGAGTGGAGGACGATGTGAGCACAACTCCACGGGACCCCCCAAGCCTCATTTTCCCCACGAGCAGAGTGAAAGCATAAAGCAAAGAGAAAAGCACGAGGCTTTCCTGCTCCAGAGGCTCCACAAAGCTGAGATCCATGTTCCTCCATCAAGCTAAGGCAAGTATTCAGAGCACTATTATGAGATCAGAATCAGCAATCTGGGGTCTTTCTGCTCTTCCAGAACGTCACCTTTTAGCAGCCCTCTGGAAATGGGTAAACAAACAAGGTACAAGTGTGGACAGTTTAAATATTTCACAGCTCACCGAGTTCTGTACAGGGAGGGATTTGCAGTGGCTGAAGAGTTCAGACTCCTGCTCCAATAATCTAATGCAAATAAACCAAACAAACAAAAAAAGGGGCACAAAAAAAAAATCTGATGCAAAATAAAAATGCAAAAAACTGTTCTGGAAAGCAGAGGGGACCTGAGTGAGGGGAATGGTGCAACCCAGGGGTGTTGTCAGGAAGGAGAGGAGAGAAGGGGAAGAGCAGGAGAGCTCTGCAGACCCAGTGAGACACAAACTGTGCTCACACAGTCACAGCCAGCAGAGCCCCCCGGGTGCCTTTAGTGAGATTTCACCCTGACAGAGCAGGATATGGCCTGATGTGGTCCTGGATGGGTTCATTGGCACCAAACTCCTCTTACATGGAGGGACCTGGTTCAGCTCCTCCCAGCTGAGGCTCCTTCCCAGCCCCTCACTCCAGGCCTGCAGCACCCCCAGCCTGGGGCTGTTCCCACCCAGGCACGACTTTGCTCAAGGACACACCAGGAGATAGCAGGAGCTGGCACATGTTCCTTGACTCCAGCCTTGTTCCAGCCTCCTGGTCACCTCGTGTTGCCATGGCTGCACAGGGCACTGCAAAGTCATTCCCTCAGTTAGAGTTCATTTCTGCTTTGAAGGCTCTGAGGTCCCAATCATTTGGGATTTTATTCCCTCAGCCCCCATTCCACAGGAAATGAGCTGCAGGAGTCCTTCCTGAGATGTGTTTCCACCTGTGCTCGGGATACATGGAGGATTTAAATTGTGAATTTGCCCAGGGAGGGCATGGAATCTCCCTCTCTGGAGACATTCCAAACCCACCTGGACGTGTTCCTGTGCCACCTGCCTTGGGCTGAGCTGGGTGATCTCCAGAGGTCCTTTCCAAGCCCAGCTGTCATTCTGTGACTCTGTGAGTGCCTGGGATCCTTCCAGGCTCAGGAAAGCAGCACTGGTCAGGTGAGCAGAGCACTGGCTGCAGGGATTAAAGAGTGGGAGCCAAATGCCATCACCCAGAACATCCCCCCCCTTCCTTCTTCTCCCCCAGCTTTCCATGCTGACCCTGGTGTCACATGGTCTGGAATATCCCTTGGGTCAGTTGGGGTCACCTATCCCTGCTGGGTCTCCTCCCAGCTCCTTGTGCCCCCCAATCCTTTGCTGCTGGGGTGCAGTGGGGAGCAGAGAAGGCCTTGGCTCTGTGTAAACCCCCCTCAGCAATAATGAAAACATCCCTGTGTTATCAACAGTCCTTCCAGCACAAATCCAAACCAGCCCCACACCAGCTACCGGGAGGAAAATTAACTCTCTCCCAGCCAGAACCCGGGAATTTTTTCCCTCCCTCCCCAAGTCCCAGTTAAGTTTCAATCCAGCAGCAGCTCTTTATTTTCTTTTAAATGTCAAACAATTCATCATTTTGCACTTTGCCCATTCCCTGGGAATTTAAAGGCTTTGTTGGCACTGGGGAGTGTCAGCCCGGGACAATGCACACTTGATTACCCCAAACAAAGTGGTTCTTGTCACCCTGCCCATTTTTGGCCGTGAGCTCTCCAGAGCTGTAGGAGAGCTCTTGCTTTCTCCCTCTCCTCCCCGTTATCACACACACAATAAACCCCCTGGGTTCAAATATACACAATTATTATCCTCGTTATTCCAGTCTCCTCATCCTGTGTGGGTGCTGGAAGGTGCCCTCAGCCCACCTTGCAGGGACCCAGGAGGGTGGGGATGGGCAGCTTGTCCTGAAAACAGCTGGATAGAGGTGCCAGGTGTGTCTGCTCCAGAGGGGCACAGGGGAAAGGTGGCAAAGGAGCATCCTTTGTTTGCCCTGAGTGATGCCCAGGGGACAGCACAGGGAGCTCAGAAATGCCACGTCCAACCAGCAGGGTCAGGTCAGAATTATCCAGACAAAACAGATGTTTCTCCCCCATCCCTGGGCAGAACGAGGTGATGCCAGGCAGCCTGGCACTGACAAACCCAGCACTGCTCAGGGGAGACTGGCACCTGTCAAAGATGCTCAGAGATGGAGCTGTGCCTGTCCCAAACACCAGTGGGGACCCGGCACAGCCTGGGGTGCCTGAGGATCAAAGAATCATGGGATAGTGTGGGTGGAAAGGGACGTTTAAAGGCCACCTCGTCCAATCCCCCTGCAATAAGAAGGGACATCTCCAACCAGACCAGGTTGCTCAGAGTCCTGTCCAACCTGCCCTTGGATGTTCCCAGGGATGGGGCCAGAGGGGCTGTGCAGGGGTGTCCAGAAACAACCTCTGGGACATTCAGGAATGACCTGAGAGGATAAAGGTGTTACCAGGAACAGGTAAATACCAGCCCTGCACTGAGTGTGAGCAGCTCCACCCGCGGATTTTCCGAGCACCTGAAGCTCCACCTCCATTTCTCAGCTTTGGACACATCAGGTGAGTAGCTGAGCGTGGAGGGGTTTGATATGGAAGAGGGAAGAACTTTCCAGAGCTTTTCCAGGTGGAGATGTCCTCACGTGGAGGGAGCTGCAGCTCTGGGTGAGGGAGTCATTACACACAGACCCACACGTGCACCCACACACACACACACTGATTTTATTAAGCCATTCCATGCAAGTATTTTATGTATGTATATTTTTTTATTTGGAAAACTTCAGAGTGCTGTTTTTTCACACACAGTAAAGTTAGCTTTGCTGAGATTCATTAGTCCCCTTTCCCCCTGTGTGTAAATGGATCTCTCTCAGTTATGCAATGCGAGGGTACACAACCATGAAAAGTGCAGAGCCAGCCAAAAAAAGCATTGTTCTGAGCTCGGACGTGTAAAATATTCATATTCAATAATAAAAAAATAAAAAAAAACCCCAGCCCTTAATAAAAAATTCACGGTGTAAAATGTGCATTGTCGCTGCCTCCCCGGGGCTGCAGCAGCTCCCAGCCCAACGTGTTCCAGGGGCTTTCACTGCCTTGTTTTACTCGATTAATTCCAAACCAATTCACTCCCAGACATCCCGGGATTAGGTGCCTAAATTGATTCTGATTTCTCTGAGGGCAGTGTATCTGTGGCTGCAGTAACAGCTGGCAGGGGCTGAGGCTGCTCAGAGCACCCAGGGAGGAGGGTGGAGGGGTTGTCCCTGTGCTGGTGGCACATCTGAACCCCCAATGCCACACTGGGCATGGGCACCCCAGCCAGCTCCAAACAGGCAGGAGAGGTCTCCTAGCATGATTCCTGGGCCCCCTCCTT